CTGCAAAACTTTAATTAACACCCCTGCGCGCGGACTTTGTAAATCTTATGCAAAGTCTTGGCTGAGCTTTTAAGTCGGCGCTTACAGAAGTAATATAACGAAAGCGTCCGAGACGGAGCACAGTTTTTCAGGGAAAAATAATTCAAGTATTGTTGTAAACAATGTACAATTTGGGCATTCCGAAATAAAGTTAGTACAAAAAAAGGCCGTGATTTACGTTTCGGATACGGAAAATAATATAATAAACGTATACACAGCAGAGCTCGCGGAAGCTCGACTCTCTTTCTCTCTCTCTCTCTCTCTCTCTCTTGCGACGGCGCAATAAATAACGTTTCGCTCGGTATCCGTTGGCGGGAATATGATTAGCTGCGTTGATGCAACCCAAACGCGGCCGCGTTGCTTTTGCTGCATCAGCATCATCCCCACCGCATGTATGTACACGGATTGTATGCGTTACCCATTGCTTTTTATACAACTCGAAAGCCGAGTGCCGCAACTACGCTGTGCGTATACCTATATACACGTATAAAATATATATGTACACTTGTGCGAGTGTGTACGAGTGTGTGTGTGTGTGTGTGTGTGTGTGTGTGTATAAACTGCAGCGGCTCATTGCTCGTGGCTCATTAGCTAATGGATGGTTCATTCGGCACAGTTGTTTGGATCCCGAACGCCTAGGAAACGGTGAAAAATAGCTTAAACTCTGTTTTCGTTGTCGAGCGCTTAGCCGTGCATAATATCAAGAGGCTCTTCCTTTCTCTTTCTCGAGCGCGCTTACACGTCGGAAAGAAGCGAGCTGGAAGTTGCGCGCGTGACGAAACGATATATTCTTGCAATAACAGCGGCAGCAGTAGCGATCTTTAAATACGTGTACAGCGAAATCGACATGGTGGCACATTTATAAGATGGAACGGCAGAAATCTCTCTCAGAGGCAAGAAAGCGCGAGCGAGAATCCGGAAGCCGATAAATCAGGCGCGCTCTACCGAAGGGGCCATGCGCTTCTCGCGCTCGAGCTTGCACTCGGAATTAGTTACCGTTCACAGCAGCAGCAGCAACGTTTCCCATTTTGCATTCGCGCTAAGTAGTTTCGCTGGGCGCGCGCATATATACATATATATCCGTCTAGTCCCCCCCGCTCACCCACCCCTCGGATTCACTTCCTTCCTTCCGCTTTGAAGCCCTGTGTATCTATACATATAATACGAGATCTCGAAATGCTTCGCGAAGCTCCAGCTGCTACTGCTGCTGCTGCTGCTGTTCTTCTCTCGCGATTCCCTATCCGTCCGATAAGAAAACGAACTCGCAATTTCCGTGGTTTTTTCTCTCTGTAGCTTGATTTTTCTGATCAAGGAGTCCTTGCGCACTTATAACGCTCGCTCGACGAGATATAGGCTTTTGCAGCTTGCCGTCGTGAAGAGGGAGAGAGAGAGAGAGAGAGAGAGAGACAAACGTGTATAGCACTGCACGGCCTGGCTGTAAGGAAAAAGCTCTCGAAGAAAAGCGATAGGAGAATTTAATAAAGAAAATGAATGCGCTCGATAATGGAAGATGTTAGCGAAGGAAAAAGCGGCTATATACACACGGATGCGCACGCTTGTTTATGGATACCGTACGCGGCCCATAGGCAGCAGCAGCAGCTTCGATATACAATAATGTTTATTGCCATTGCCGAGAACACCTACCATTTTTTTCTGCTTTACTTTTCTTGCTCGTGCACTGATAATAAGAAATTTATGCCATCGCTCTATCCAGCGCGCAATCATTTTTATTTTGCGAGGAAAAAATTGACCACGAATTGCCTGCAACCGAACGTAATCTCGGGAGAAGCAAAAAATCCAAACGCTCGCTAGCGTACGTCAATTCCATGGCTATAAAGAACTGCTGACGCTGCGTGCACCTGGGCGAAGGTCATTCGAGTCTTGTTTTTGCATGCGAATTCAATCGCAGCTCTCTCTCTCGCGCGCGCGCGCGCGTTAAATACGCGGATTACTTGCTGCACAGCTGGAAATGCGAGCGAGTCCTTGCGCTGTTTTTCTTTCGCTTTCTCTCTGCTCTATCTCTGCTCTTCGTCGTCGTAAGATAATTATCTTATATAATGGCGTCGACGCAGCCTGGCGTGTAGTTCAATTAATTAAGCGTCGGTGCGGCGACTATACAGGTTTATAAACCGGCTGTATTTAAAGATGTATATACAGGGGACGTAGTCAAACGAAATTATTAAATTCTATATGCTTGTTTCTCTCTGCAGCTGCATAAAGCCGCATCCAAGCATATAATCTCGAACTTTAACGACCGGCTTGTTTTGCGTTCGAATATTCGGTTACCTCGAGCTGCATCACTGTACTGCTGCCCAGCCTGATTGGAACGCTCTTTTGTTGCAATATATTTTAATATTTTTAGCAAAAAAGAAATTCTCGAGAGCTTTTTTCGGCTCTATAAGAGGTTTAGAAATGCAGATTATCATTGTTACACAGAGGCTATCGAAAACTCTGGGCCGGCTTTTATAGCTGGGCAATTTCCTTTGCCGTGAAATGCGGGACAAGTCGCACACAGCTTCAAAGGACGAGAGATGATAAAAGGGATAGAGATAGACAGAAAGCTCGGAGATTAAAAGACGCGATTTCAATAATCGCCGCGCGTGCTCGCGCCCGCATTAGGAAATCACTCGGGCCAAGCATATTCTTTTGCAGCTCATGAGGTTTCGATCCCCCGTGCTAATGGCTCCAATTCGACACTTTCGCAAAGGATCGTTTTCGCTGGCGTGTACTCTCTTGGGACTTCGTATGCATGTAAATGGCATTCGAGCCGGCAAGAATCCGACTCGAATTTGACGTAGCGATTAAAGGCAAAAACACAGCGGACCGTGCATTATAAAATTTAATTTTCATCCTCGTGCGACACGTATTTTATTTTTTCGATTCACGAATTGTCTGCTGCCTCGCTCTTGATGCCAAAATTCACGAGCGTTCTCTGGTACGGGCACATAAATCTCTGACCCTTACTGGGCACACACCGCAATCCGCATACACCCACACGTCCACGCACACAAACGCGCGTACACACATTGCGCCGTCGTAGCATGCGAGAATATTTTGGTATTACAACCGTGGGCATCTTCGATCTCTTTCACCCGGCGTCTCATTCTTTTTCTTCGATCCTTTTGTGCTTTTCATCCTGAGCCGTTGAGCCGTTGTGCGCGCTATGCCTTTATCCGTTTTCCTCGCTACTCTCTGCGCGCCATGTATAGGTATGTGTGCGCGTGCATGTGTGCGCGCAATGCTGTGTACTCTGAACTGAAAGAAAAGATATTCGCTTTTTTGTATATCGTGTAAGTATATCTATAGACTGACCATATCTGTGTTTTTACTACTTGAAACTACCTATCTCGCACATTAGATTTGAATAAATCGATATTTTCGATTCGTTCGTATCTACAGATGTATAACTTGGACAGGAAAATGAAGCATTTTGACGAGGATAATTATTCAGTTTATTTCGTTTATATAACGAGCCTCGTTATAACAAAGCAGTAGCAGCATTTCTAGCAGTGAAATCTTAACTAAAGCCTCCATAATAGCTAAGTGTATAATAATATATGGGCGACAATTCCATTTACACTGCTTGGCTGCTGCTGCTGCTGCTGCTGCTACTCTACAGCACGGAGACACTAATATATGTATTCTGGAGTGCGGGCTTGGTAGAGCAAAGTCTTAGACGTTGAGAAAGACGTCGCTCAGTGACTTGCTTACTGACGCATAACAGCTCCTGTCTGGCATCAAAACATACAAATACGCGCAGCGCCATTATGTGTGTATGCACTGGCATAGATGCGAATTTCGAGGATAAATTGTTTGATGTAAAGTCTGTCAATGCAACTTTTTCTCTACTTTTTTTACCAGCTTTCTTTGATTCGCGTTGCGAATTAAAGCTATTGTCACGTCGTCTATGTATGTGCTTTCGATTCATTTGTACACACGCGCTCGTTGAAGCTCGGCGTGGTAACGGCTTTTGAGAATTCGAAGCAACAAAAAAAACCTTCACGTCAAAAGCTATTGAACTTGCTTTTATAAAACAAAACTAGCGAGTATATGCTTAATTGAAATTAAAACCAAAATGAACCGAAGAGAAGTGAAAAAAATATATAGTGTCATAAGTCTTGCTTTGTTTGCATTATGCATGTTATATAGCTAACGAATCGCTGGTACATGTGCGTGAGCGAGTGATGCGCGATGAATATCACACGTAGCAGCAGGGGAAAAAGAGGAAAAGAAAAGGGAGCGAAGAGAAAAATGAAATTGCAACGAGCAAAGGATGAAAGCTGAAAATTTAATTCAAAGAGAATACACAGGGCTTTTCGCGCGCGGGCGCTCGTCGAGTCGGTCGAGTTTTTACCTTGTATACATACTTGCTTATAATATAACAAGTGCACAAAGTATTTTTCGCTCCATTATTATATAAAGCCGGCACGAAGCTCTCTCGCGTCCTATATGTATGCGTGAGTGTATAATTTACAACAACAAAGCGTTTCTCAATAGCCATTCATACACGATGAGTTATTCATATATCGATTATTCCGAGCCAGGCGCGTATACATACGACCTAACGATCCTAGGCTTTAATTAACGCTAGCTTCTTAAGATGGTTAACACAATGCGTCGAAACTATACAAGCGTGCGCCCGCAATAGTCGAAATAACATACATGTTTATTGTTCTTACGGCATAAAGCTCGTGCCTTTTCCCGAGAAAGAGACAAATCGCTCGCTCTCGTTCTCGAAAGATCCGCTATATTATACGCAATAAAGCTCTCAGGCCGAAAGCTCCTGCGCCGACGATATAAAGTCAAAGGCACGGCTGTACGTGACTCAAAGCTTAATTGAGTTATGCCGTAAAGACACGCCGATGACGCAATAAACAATACATAACGTACACTGATTTATTTTGCGCTCCGCATCTGTGCACGTCTGACTGACTATTTTTTCCCTCTGTTTTCTGCTGCAGCATCCTCGTGCGACATGGTATTCAATAGCGACACAACAAAATCGGGTGTGGTCACGTCGCCCGGCTATCCGAATCCGTATTCTGCTCGGACGCGCTGCAGATACGACTTCCAGGGACGTGGCAAGGAGAGGATACAGATCATTTTTCAAGTATTCGACGTTTATCGACCGCCCGAGGGTACCAAAGAGTAAGTACAGCTGTTTCAGTTCTTATTAATTCGTCATTACAATCTCGACGTTGGCCATCCATGAAGAAGAAATCCTACGACGACGGAATAAATGAATTTTCTCATCGATTAACCTTATCGAACTTGCAGAGCTTGCATTGATTTTAGAAACTTGCCGGCTGTCGAATCAAGCTATACCGCGTGTATATAAACTATACATATATACCCTAGCTTTTCGAAACTTTCTGCTTTATATATATATTTCTCCGAGCGCGTGTTACTTGTCTATGCTCTGCTATATATTCGCTGCGCTCCTTTCGCCAACGATCGAGTTCTCTCGATTCGCAATACCCCGGATACTCGAAACTTTCAACTTTTAGCCTCTCTCGCAAAAACAGTGACAATTAATCCTCGCTTTGAAATTTACAGATGCGAATCGACGGACTCGCTGGTGGCCTACGTGCAAATAGACGGCAAAATGGAGAAGATCGACTCGTTCTGCGGAGAATCAGCGCCAAGGCCACTGATGAGCAACGGGCCTCGGCTGCTGCTGGAATTCCGCGGCCTCACCGCATCTAGGCACGCCCGCGGTTTCAAGGCCACTTACTCGTTTCTCGAGAGTGAGTATGATGCGCGCAACAAAACATCGTAATACCATTAGTCGAGGCATGTCAGGCGTCGAGATCGCATTCGAACTTTATCATAATAAATAGTCGCACAGTCGCTTATCGTTGCGGCGCGCCTCCAAGCCCGTGCCAAAGTGTAATGCAGCAGCTCCTACCTGCCGGCGCAGGATAAAGCCTGTCGGATTGGCCCGAAAATGAGGAGAGAGAGAGAGAGAGAGAGAGCTCGTGCGATCGTAGAGCGCATTCGCCGATGACAATTTCACATTCGCGCCTCGCGCACGTATTGATTTTGCCTCGCGCCCTGCCATTAATTCGTGGCCTCGCATATACATTTTTGCGGGACATTACTTTCATTGTTCTCGGTCGGACTCATAAAACACGCACAAACACTTGTGCTGTTCACGAGAGCTAATGTTTCGCGTTTCTCTTCTTTGCGATTCATAATAACAACAGCAGCGTCAATGGCGGCAGTCGACTATATACAACAGCAACAACAACAACAACAACAACAACAATTCACTAGGCAGCTCTCGCTCACATTTATAAACGGCATTTCCTTCGGGCGTGTTTGTAATAATATATCGAGAGTGCAGAGCTCGCAGAATGGCTCGAGTTATGCAGCTATCATCGCGGGCGAGAGCAACAATATAGCCTGCACACTCCCCCCGGAAACTGAAACTTGGCTCACCTTCCTTCGCTCGCTCGCTCGCTTCTCTTTTAGTTACACACGCCATGTGCGTAAATATGTATGCGCATGGCCAGGTTAACTGGCTGAGAGTTTATATTATAGGGTGGACGTGGAAATACAGTCCTTCATCCCCCTGCACCCTCAACCTCCAGCGTAAGCAGCTAACCTTGACGTTTACAGCTATAGTTGCAACTTTGAGGGGGCCAGCGGCGGCATGCGCTAACCCGAAGGCAATTATGATTATGTATACGGTATATAATCAACTGTGCTTTCTCTCTCCTGTCCACGCCCCGAGGCAGCTTGTGCGGCCTGAAAATCAACTCGCATTGACCCGCTTTGGATTTCCGCGTGTCTAAACTCGGCTGCGCTCCCGCTTCACACAGCACACCGTATACATCTGTATATATATTTGTCTACATGCTCTAGCAGCCGATGTCCAATGAAATTTCTACCGTGTATTCAATTGCTCCAAATGTTTGAGGATTCTTTAGCCACGCTGCGTCGCGTAAATTAATAAAACTCGCCAAAGTTTCGACAGACTTGATTATACATCTTGATTCTTGAGACGCTTTGTCGTTTTTCGAGCGCTCTCGCGCGTGGAGAAGGAAAAGCAGCTCTGCACGCGCGCGCGCTCGCAAGCAGGCAGGCAGGCAGGCAGGCAAGCAAGAGAGCTCGGCTCGACAAACTTTTAATAGCCTTAAAACGCAGTTTGTTGAAAATCGATGCACTACTCATCGCGCGCGAGAGCAGTAACATTTATCATGAGAATTATTTTGCGTTAATAAAAAGTTTCGCAGTTATGCCGGCTTCAAGCCCCAGCTAATATGCTCGCAGTTCCAAGTTTGAATTTCATTAATAATATACATAATCGCTCGGACTAAAATCGGTTTGTAAAATTTATCAAGTGAACTATGTACAAACCTATGGGTGTATAAGCGCCTACACTACGCCACGTTCCAAGTACGCAAAAAATGTTTCTGCACAGCGTTGAAAATTTCGGCAAAAAATATACATCACTGTCAAGATTTTAAGTTGAAAAATTTTCCAGCCAAGTACGCGCAGGCTACTAGTAACGATATAGAGCCTCGAATACTTAATAATGCATCATGACTCACTCGTGCTCTCTCGCGCTTTTTGCTAAAACACGAGCGCGAAAAAGGCAGATTTGTTGTTATTTCATAACTCGAGCGCGGGGTGCGCGCGCGCGTGCGATGGAAAACTTTTCATTTTTGCAACGTATAATATTACCTGTTTAAAATCCAGCAGCGAGGATCGTTCGCGTGTTGTACAGTACACCCTTGGCGTACGTAGAATTTCACTTGAAACTTCGGGCATAATAATAACGTATTCATGCGTGCGCAGCCCGTCGCCCGACAATCCCCAAAGCCTCGCGCGCACAAGTACGCATACATCTACACTGAAAAAATGTTCGAGCTGCTACCACTCGACGCCGCAGTGCAGAGCCTCGATACGCGGAAACGCTACTGCTCTCGGCCATCGAGGGAAATTCCCTCGATGATCGAGCAGCAGCGCATCGATGTAGAGTAGTAGCGCCCTCATAAAATCGAAGGACGCTACATGTGAGAAGTTTCGAGTATTATTTCATCGCGCGCGCCGAAACCAGTACTCACGTATTAGCAGCTTTCCGATGGTATTATTAGATTTTCCGGTATATCCAATTTTCGCCAAAAACATCATCACCAAACATGCCGAGCTAAATATCTCGAAAAAATCAATACGGCAAAACTGCTTTTTATGGTTTATTTTTGATTTTTTCTTATCAAAATTGAATATTTCGGAAAATCTGATACTACCATCGGAAAGCTGAGGAAATTTCCTATCGAATGGAGTAGTCAGTCAATTTTTTAAAATGAGTTTTGATACTTTTTCAGCTACTTAAAAATTGAATGAATGGTCGTATTAAGCGAAAACATGACTTTTTGGGCCCTAAAACACAAGCCAGAAAAAAATTACCTATGTTTAAATTTCATGTTCGCGCATTTTTTTAGCTTCCTAGGACCTTCAAGAACAATACCTAATGTTCATAGTATGCGTCCAACGTAAAAAAATTGTTCCGTTTTTAGCCAAAAAATTCGAAACTAAATTCCGGAATTGCTCATATACACGTAAATATTATAATATATATTATACAGAAAGCAAACGTAGATGAGCACGGCGAGCAAGCGAGCGCGCATCGCGCGAGGTGACTGAACACGCGACAGCGCTTGCTTTTCATCCGAGTGAAATTCCCTCGATGAGTCGAGTATGCGTTACTCGACGCGTCGAGCGCGCAGGCTCCTCACTACTTTGAGTAGTCTCTCTACGCATCTAGAGCTACTGCAGCTCTATAATCGTGGGTCTGTAGCTCGTGCGACCGCCGAGTTTTTGTGCCTCGACAATTTGATGCAGTCAGCCCGATCATTTTTTCAGTGTAGCGCGCACGCACACGTGTCTGCTAGTTATCATTTAATATTACTCTTTCCTATAATAATGTAAAATTCTACATATCAGTCTCCTTTTTTAGCGCTGAAATCGGATCGAAGAGTATATAATTTTGGCGCCCGGCGCGCTACCGCACGTGCAATATTGCCAAAGTTCCATACCCACGGTTTTGCCAGCAAAAGTTTGTTCATTTTGACAAGCGCACGCGCACACACACACACACACACACACACACAGTAGACGCTTGGACTTGACGCGCCCCTTTTTTTATATATCAAAAAAGAGTTTTGATTATTTTTCAGAAGAAGAGCAGCAGCAGAGTCTCTTTAGCTTGCCGAGCATGCGAGCTTGCCTCGACTTATATTATACGTCTTCGGTAATCTTACCTTCTCTTTCTCCTTGTATTGCTCTTGTGCTCCTTCGTCTTCTTCTTCTTCTTTTTTTCTCCTAGCGCAGCTACTCTTCGACTTTAAACTTGCCTCGCCCGCGTTCTGCGGTTTGGCCGACTTAAAGCCTTGTATATTCTGACCATTGGCGATTTATACTATCACGTTGCCGCTGCTCACGTTCGTTTCTTCTTCTTTTTCTTCTTGTTTCTTTCTTTCTTGCTGAGATTTTTCTATACTTTCTTTTTTCCAGCCCGGCGCGCTCGAGTGATATCAACTGCACTTGAAACTTGATTTATTCATGTAGACACTCTTCGCGCGCGCGCGCGCTTGCGCCCATTGTTTACCAAGTAATGCACATTGAATATTAGATTGTAATTCGCGAAGCTTTGAAATTTACCGAACATGTGGCAACAAAAGCTGTGCACTACCCCCATAACGAGCTCCCTAGATCAGGGACAATATTTCCAGATTTGTGACCGAAAAGTTGAAGCGCGTAATCAAACAGCATTTGAATGTTTCGCATATCGCGTATGCGTACATGCATTATCAGTTTTCCAATTAATTATACCATTGAGCTGCAGATGGCGAGCAATATATGTAGATGTATGCCATTTAATTGGATGCCTCTCTGTTTGCCTCATACCGTACGTACAATATTGTGCATTATAACAAGAATGAAGAGACATCTTTACAGTACAAGATATAATAATGTAGAGAAGGCTACGCGTACTGCAGAAAATGCCTGTCAAGCGCGTTAGTTTCGAGCAGAGCAACATTTACTTAATATCATTTCGATACGAGTATCGCTGGAGAAAAAGAAATTCACTTGAAAAATCAAAGTTTCGAATAAACTTTTTTAATGAATCGTCTAAAAGAAAAAAGGTGGGGACGTTTTCCCTGGGAAAATGTCAGTGCATGCGAACGGGTGTAGCAGCAACTCGTCGTGCGCGTTGCGCTTTTCACGCGACCAGACGTACGGGTTGTGCTGCTGCTGCAGGAGAAACCAGAGAAACTCCTTTTCAAAACACCTCGCACACCTATAAAAGGAAGATGCGAGAAAAAGTCGGTCGAGCGTGTAAATACGTATACGTACTGTATGTATGTGTATGTGTATAACAATGTCCAGGACACGCGAGAGCTTATACGTCTGGGAGGTGACGAAACAACAATGTTGCCTCGACGAAAACGAAAAAATGCAGTTGCGCTCGCAGGCAACTCGCACCAGATCTCTTCCACTCTCTATCTCTCTCTCTCTCTCTCTCTCTCTCTCTCTATATATATATATATATATGTATACAACAGCTACGCAGCAAGAGCAGCAGTACACGCTGACGTATAAAACGCGAGCGCGTAGTCCCGGGCGTAGTAGCTTTTCCGTTCGTCGTCGCACGTATAATGAAAAACAACGTAGGAAAAAGGCCTGGAAAAATAAAACAGTGCGCGCGCGACGCGTGTATAACGAAAAGAACTGAACGAAATAGCCCGCGGTCAGTTGTTATAGTGCTGTACATGCGTATATCGTGCGCATACATATACGTACATGTATAGGCTCCGATCAGAAAATGTATATCGCGAGACCCAATCTAAAATTGTCTTTACTATTGAACGCATCCAGTTGGTCTTTTATATGACACAAAAAAATCCATTCGCCGCGAGCTGTTATGTCTTTGTTGCACGGCCTGTACTCACAAATATAAGTGCCACACTCTTGCATTTTTTACGAAAATAAGAGCCGAGTACGCGTCGATGAAAAGCGAGCTTGTGTAAGTTATAGCGATCGACATTACCAGAATTTCGCCCTCATAGTAAATTAGAAAACGTTACGTATATAACATACCATGAGCCACGCACGCGACTGAATCCATAAAATTAAAGCAATCATTAAAATTTTATTTATTTTAAACATTCCTTACGACCCGACAAATGGAAAAATGTAAAACCGCACAACCGAGTATGCATATATCCTCTTTATCTCAACTTTCTATACTGCGCTTTGCGAATCAAGTAATTTTTTATTTAAACGCTAAACCAAGTACCCCGAGTATAAAAAGCACAGCCCTTGTGGCACACTGAAAATTGCTTAAATTTATTTTATTACAAAGGAATAGTTTTACTTGCGGATAAGACCGGAAAGAAAAAATCTAATAGTGCATTAAAATTCAAATGCACGATACATCTTTGGGAATTAATTTGAATTTTATGCAAACCACCGCGACGAAAAAAGTCTTTCAACTTTAGATGATTTTTAGAAAGTTAGCGTGAAAATATTACTTTGGAACTAAGACGGCAATAAATTCGAGATTAATATCGCACCTACGCCACGCGATAACAAAGTGTCGCGTAAGCGATAATTAATTTTTTTTAAATCAACCGTGAACGAAACTCTTGACTGACTGCTTCGCGTTTATTAAAAGAAATAAAGAAAATTTTGCACTGCTTTTACGGGCTCTTATGAATCCATTTTAAAAAGAATAGACTTTTCCAAAATTAAAGTCGTTTTACAAAGACCGAGCCCTTTTCAATTCCCTAAGCGACGTTCCATAAAACGCTAGGCTCTCTCCCTACATTGATATAATGCACGCCTCTATATCGAAATGGAAAAAAAATTACAAGGACTTGACAAAATTCTTATATGTATGCATGTAGGCGAGTTTAGTCTTCTATATTATATCAAGCCAGACAGGAGTCACTGTTCTTTTTTTTCTTTGATAAGCTTCTATTTAGTTTTTTCTTACTCATGCATTTTTTCTTTCTCCCTCTAAGAAATGTTCTTTTGCTGACGGTTTTTATACGAGGTATTGTGAATTTTCGGTATGTATACCTGTATACATGCACGCGCATACACGTCGGTAATTAGTAAAGAAAACGAAATCATGAGATTTTTTCTTGAGGAAAAATAAAGGGAGCTTTATACCTTTGAATTAACTTTTGTGTTCGAGAAACATATTGCTCTTGTTTTTTGTCTTATTTTGCCTGCTCTTTCTCAAAAGAATATTTCAGAGTCCCAGTTGCAAGTCATGCTTTTATAATATATTTAAGCAAGCAAAGAATATTAAAACGCCACGTATTACAAGTAAATTATAAAATTATAACAACGTTTTATTTCGTTACAAAGTAAGTTGGCTTCGGTTAAGGTCGCCAAGCTGTTGCGGAAGGCCACTAGATCTTTAGGATAAAATCGCCGCGCTCCAAATTAATTGGCGGTGTTAGTCACGCTCACAACAATTTCGAGGGACTTTGTTTAAATAAAAAGTTTCATCGGTACAAATTTCTATCTTGGGGGCAAATCAATATGACAAGGTGTGCGAACTCGATGCGAGTATAGCAAATGTTCGCAAATGAAGTACATAGATTGCGATACAAACGCAAGAGATGCACAGAGAGAGAGAGAGAGAGAGAGAGAGAGAGCTGCAATGCTGCCACCACACGAGCTTACGCTCGGAATTAAACTTGCCGTGTGCGCGAAAGGGAGGCTTTGATGGAATAAGCTTTGGGAGCCACTTGCGGCAAAAGCTCCGGCAGCCGGTACAGATCACTACTGCTGCAGTGGGAGCTGCTTATTACAATGGCACAGCATCGGGTGTGCTCCGTGTGTATCGCATAATTCACTAATGATAATGCCCTGATGCAATAACGCTGTAAAGTTCGACGGCTCACATGATGTATATGACGCACGTATACGTGACATTACAGATTTCGGAATAACGACGGGTAAGCAGGAGCTTTCCTATCCCTGCGCCTTTGTGTACAACAGCAACGAGACGATGAACGGCACGTTCACCTCGCCGAATTATCCGGGATATTATCCGCGCGATACCGAGTGCCATTACTTCTTCAACGGACAGCCCAAGGAGCGAGTTCATCTGCACTTTCATTACTTCGACGTCGAGGGCGTATTGCCGTGAGTATTTACAAGATCGCAATGACTCGCATTATTAATATATTTATTATATTGAATTATATACTTGTAATAACTTGAAGCAGTGAATGTTGAATTTCTATCTATTTGTGTGTGCCATAGGTGCGACTCGGTATCAGCCAGCGACTACGTGGACTTTTCGAATTACTTGTCGCGCGATCGCAAGTACTCGCGTCACTGCGGCCAATTGACCGAGTTCGACGTCGAGTCGGATCGCTCGTTCTTTCGCGTGACGTTCAAGAGTAACGACCGGCTGGATGGCACGGGATTCAACGCGAGTTATCAGTTTGTCAGCGAAGAGGACAATTATACGGTCAAGACGCCGTTGAGCAGCAGCGCCGCAGCAGCCATTGACTACTCGACTACTCCTCAGGCCGGTAAGAACCGAGCTAGCTCGCGAGCAAGTTTCGCAGCTAGCTGCAGCTTAATAAACTTTGGCTCTTTGATTACGACCCATTGATCGACGCGCGCCACAAGCTGCGACTATAGACCACCTCATAATAGCCGCGTACATGATATTTTCGCGATCTCGCAATGGATCGGCCGCCGAGTTGCAGCTGCAACTGCAGCGAGCTCGTTTTCAAAAATCCCAAGATAAATTACTTACGCCCGCACGCGCGCAACGAGAGAAAGTGAAGAGGCAGCAGATTTTTTTGCACATGGAAAATTTTATTTCACGCGCGCAACCTATAGCTATACGCAAGAGGAGCTGAAGCCTCGAGTAAGATATTCAATCTTCATTATGACGAATAATCGCGTTGCCTGCTGCCAAGATGAGAAATCTCTCTGTCGAGATATATACATTTTCTCTCTCTCTCTCTTTGCGCGAGCGAGTTTCTGCACGCCAAGCCGAGTTAATGCACTTTGTTCAAATGCTCGCAGGTCTTTTCTTTTACTACTCGCTCAAGTTGAAAATCATTCGACAGTTAAGCCTTTTTTCCTGGCCCGCGCGTGCATGTACAAATGATTTAACTATATTTTCTCGATGAAACTTGCATAGAGAGGAACGCATGCCTATGTGTATAAATACACGCGCCTCTATGTTAGCCTCTCTCGAGTTGAACAGACTTTTTAGTAAAAAGTTTGTAACTCTCTCGCGAGTTGCAAAAAGTTTCGTCGAATCTTGCGCATTACTCTGCGCGCGTTTTGTACAAACAGAACTTTGGCCTCTTGCACGCGCGTCCGTCGTGCAAGCGCCTGCGATACATTTAGCGAAATATTTCAAAGCGAAAACAGGGCTATTATTATGAAAGCGTTAACGTCCTCCACATCTTGAAGATTTTATTTTTCACAAATCCACGATTGCGCGGAATGATGATAATAATAATAATAATAATAATAATAATAATAATAATAAAATTGCTAGCTGCGAGGGTGTTGCGACTCTTGAAATTGAAAACTCTACTCTCTGCCACCTTGCGTTACATAAACGAGAGAGACCCGGAGCTGTTGGGGCTAAACAACAATGCGCGCCGCGCGTGTACGCGTTCGCATTATAAGGTACAAAGTGCGAGAGCCGCGAGTGTGTATGCGCGATTTGCAAATGAAAATGGAGCCAACGCAGCGCAAGAAGCTATACGTGCAAGCTCAATGCAGCGAATTAATCGTTCCATCAATATTGGCGGCCTACGCTCCCCATTCCCCCTTTCGCCACATTTATATATACGTACATGTACATATACAATATACATGCGCGTGTATACTCCACTGCATACATGGTACATAATATAATCTCTTTTCATTTCCTGGCTATGTGCATGTGCGCGTGTATGTTGTCGCGTATACGACCGCGTATAACAAAAGAACCATTTTTTCCACTTCAATTGTGTTTATTATGTGCGCACACATGTATAAATATACAAGCGCGGTAATGGCTCGATGAAACTTGCCACGATCCGATTCTGTGCTTTGAACAATGAGCCGCGCGCTGCCTTTTGCTTCTATTACTTACGTAATCTATCGCGGATTCAAATTTCCATCTCCAATCTTTCTCTGTAAAATAATCATCCAATCGTCAAATTTTCGTCCTCTATTATTACACCGCCACAGTCCGCGACTGTTATATTCATCGGGCGTATCATATACATGAGACATTTACGCGAGCCATGAGCTTGTATGCTTATAGATAATATTATATACGTATCGCATCGATTACTCGTATATATACGTGCCATAAATTTCGCAGACTGCAGCACGTATAGTGCACTGCTACGCGCGCGCGTATATGTAGGCTAGCTTCCCGGGCATTATCGATGCCCTCTAGGTTGTTGGTTAAAAGCTGCGGCTTGCCACGGTATTGCAGGAATGGGTTATACGACTTCCCGCAGTACCGACGATGTTGCGCAGCAATAGAAAAAAAAGGAAGAGACTTCAAACCAAGGTAAAGTGAGAGAATAAAAGCGTAGTGACTGAACTTAGTGAATAGCTAATGCGCCGAATGGCGGCACAGTGACTGGACTGCCGGTAGCCCACCGAGTGCACTTTCAAGCCCAGGTGTTGCTCAAAGAAGCGTGCTGACTGCGTTTTTTGCGCGGGCTTATAATACCCAAACTCGAGATTAGGCGTATCGACTATATTTTTATGAACTGATTTTTTTCGGTGCGCTTGATGTCCTCGGTTCGCGTTCAGCCCCGGTACGTCGATGAGCTCATTTTTTTCTCTATCGAAAGTAGGCACGAGAAAAAAAGTTATGCCAAGGAGACTTTTACTGCGGAGCATATCCAATGCTAAAGAACGTAAACTCTTACGTAATTTTTGTTTTTACTAAAATTTGAATAATTTTTTAGATTTTTCGAACAAAAAATCAATCAAAAACTAGAATAATTGCTTCTGGAGCGAACCGGAATGAAATGAAAAAAAAAGATTGATCATTTAAAAGAGCGAAAATTACTCGAATAACAAACCCGAAGAAAAAATCCAATATATAGTATATACATCCATTACGAAATCGTGACGATTCCAAGTCTCCAATAAATCCGTATACGTTTAGTTTAACAAGCGGTGGCCGTAGTCGTACGCGCGCGCGCGCTAGCAGAAACGAAAGCCTCGCCCACCATCGTCGACAGTAGTTATTTCCGTGTCCGATGTCGTGACCGACAGTCGAGTAGTTTTTGATTTTACTCTATTGCTTAAACGACTGTCAGGAAAGAGAAATATTGCATGGACAAACGTGTCTATATAAGCGCAGCTCGACCACGGCTAGCTTTAGGTATATGGAGTGCAGCTACGTCGGACGAGAATAAAAAAATTTGCATGAACGTATTTTTATGTAACGTTGGGAAAAAAGACATTAGTTGTTCGTCGGTGCATAGCCGGGCGGGAAAATTAACTCCGCCGAGGATCATTTTAAACGAAGGCTATTTTTTATCGAGCATCAAAAAATAAATAAGTCCTTTAGTCAAAATCCGTGATGTATGTCCCAGCGAGACCAGGACGCAAAGAGTCTCTTTCCCTCTCTCGTGATGGGCTGGCAAAGAAGTAATTAACGCGCATAAAGCGCTCGCGATAAAACCAACCTGAAAAGGGTTAATGGCCAAAGAGAGGGAGAGAGAATGAGCGATAGGAAAAATGTCACCCATCTCTTCTATCACGCGCCCGAGCTATACATAAAAGCGCCCACGAACGAGCGAGCGAGCGGGCGAGCGCGCGCGACACGGAACAATGGACTTTCAAGCGCACCAAAGAAAGAGATGAGCATCGGTTATTTTCACTACTTTGCTTTGCTTTATACGCACATCGAGGAAAAATTAAACTAATTGGACGATAACTCGGAAGAGATCGAATCAAATAGTTTATTTGTCTTTTTAATATGCCTCTTAAGACTTGTTTTTGATTGCGAGTCACAAACGTTGCAAGTCGTCAAACTGAAAGCTTTTCTATCCTAATTATCCCAGCAAAAGCATCGTGAATTTTTCGAATTATCGTGCGCCATATAAACTTGCGAGAAAGCAATAAAAATAATTTTATGTATCCATTAACGCTCGATCCAAGCACGTTGTGCAGACTAAAAATGCTAGTATTTGACTAGTATTAACAAAAAGTTTGACTTTTCTATACAATTACCAATTGAGTTAACAAAAAATTAAGTACACTCATGGGGACACCATCGAGTCGAAGCGATGCCGTTCTATAAGTAGCTTTTTACGTTCACCAGTAACTGTTTGTGCGCTGTTGCTTCATCCGCATAAGTATACATATGTAGCTTACACACTTGCTCAGCTTTTTTCTTCTTTTTCTTTTTTTTTTTTCTTCCTCAACAAGCAAGTGACTTTTATGCGCACGCTTAAAGAGAGAGCAAAGAGATTTTTGATGGCACTCGTGTTTCTCTATCTCACACAGACAGGCCCGCAGCGGGTGCGAAAGCTTGCATGTCAAGAATGATCGACCTTTTTTCCGACAACGCCGTCTAACTTTCGATCGTAGACGCGCGTGCATGGCAAAGGAAAAAGTATGTATGATTGATCGCGATTTAAGTGAGCAAAAATGATTTTTTCCTTGTCTCGTTAAATAAAAATTGAATGAATTGCGATTTGACTATTTATTTATTTATTTATTTATTTATTTATTTATTTTTCAAATACACGTCGCGTACCAAACTTTCGACTAATGCAGATGTAATCAAAGGTAAGCTTAGTTGCAAGCGCGTGTATAACATTATAATACTTGTCGGCGCGATCCTCCCCCCGTCGATTTTGACAGCAACGCATAAATACATGCACGCACTTACGTGGAGGCGCACAGTCGAAGGATCAAACAAGACCTTAAGACAATAAGGTTGCAAGTTTGATAAAGCCACGAGAAAGATCTAGAAGCCAAGTACCAAACTTCGGGGCCCTTTACTCTCTCTCTCTCTCTCTCTCTCTCTCTCTTGCTGCAGAGGCTTCAGCATCATCAAGCGTACGAAGGATTGAGATAATGCGAGCTCCGTGTAAAGCTACACATACTCGAAGCGAGTAATACACGCGTATGTATATGAGCTGTATCACGTGAAGCGTGATATGTCAAAAAATGAAATCTCAAAATAAGTAAGTACCCGTACAGAGTACATTGAAAAATGGAAATTTCCAAAATTTGAGCCTCTAGGATCTACACTCTCGAATTTGAACTTTTCTTTCTCAAATTTTATTCTGCTTTTATTGGGTGACTATGAAAAAACTATTGAAAAAATGATGTTTTATGTAAAATTTGACGAAGAATTTATATTAGCTGGTAAAATTCAAAACCCTTTAAGAATGAAAAAATAGTACGACAGTATAAAAATAGTTTTGATCATCTCCTTAAAAAACGGGTAATATTGGAATGTATTCTATCAAAGACCAAAATAAAACTTTTCAAACTGGTTTTAGCAACTGCACCAACAAACACGTTTGGAAATTTTCAAGAGTGTGAGATTTCATTTTTTTGGCCTATTACAGTTGACGTGATATAGCCTATATGTATGTAGATGTGCAGCGGCGTCTGTACAAGCCTGAAAATTTCGAGCTCCCCGAGCACATAAAGCTCCATAACGTGCACGCTTCACGAGCTTTGCGCGCACTTTTGCGCCAAACAATGCACTGCTGCGTGCGTTAATCTTATACTCCCCGACATCTTCTGCACCCACTTATGCTGCTCGCGCTCCTACTTCGTTTACAATATTATATGTACAAATAGAATAGAATAGAATTACCTCGTCGAAGCCTCGAGTTGCCTGCGCGGTGTATTTACTCGTGTGATACATCTGATGTGTGTTATATTGGAACCGAAAGTTTTCCTCATGCTCGCTCTAGACAAACAGATTTCGAACGATGTGTATTTAACGCCCGATTTCCATTCAGTAATTGCATAACACGATTCATTAAGCGTTCTCCTTTTTTGCATTTGCCTACACATAAAAAAAACGACGCATCATTCAAATGTGTAAATGTACTTTTATACGTTGTGTTGCAGGCTATTATTGCTGTTTCTCGTCGCTGATGGCACTCGTTCTTTTATCACTTCTGCCAGGCCAATTTCAGCCGATGACGAATGAAATAGCCTACTGATTATGACATGCATGCATAGCACTATGACAATTCATCTCCGTGCAGGCTGGATGACGTAAAAAAACAATGTGTACACGAATCAAAAACGCAGCCGAAGTAGAAGAGTGAGAGACAAGACATTATTTGAAAATGTAGATGTTGTATGAGATAAAAGGAGAAAAAAATATCACCCCCTGTGTTTGCTCATGCATTTTTGTTGTACAATGAATGGAGTAAGATAATGTGTATATATATTATAGAGGCATTTTATTCTGTACATAATATAATATATTGATAAACAAATAAAAATCCAATTGTTCGGTGTTTGCAGATTTGGTGGACGACAGGAGAGAAAGAGTAAAAAAAATCATTGTGTTCGTATATAATAAAATTGAGTACTTGTATGGTCTGAGAGAAATATTCAATACATTACCTGATCTGAACACACAACTTTTAAAAATTATGCATCAGTTTTATTTACAACAGTAAATATTGATTGATTTAATTTTTAAATAACTTTTCAAGGACTTATGTATTCAATTTTCTTTCGTCTGACAAATAAGCTTGCACAAAATTATTTTTTACGAGCTAATTTATCATAATTTTCACGAATTTGAAAATAATTTCTCAGAGTTTCTTAATGCCTTTTGCTCGCTTTAATTTTAATTTATTTGTGTAGATTGAATTGAGGGTTCCTCGAAAAAACGAGATGTTTAAAAAATTTTACATTTTTTTAGATGAATTATGATCAACTAATATGTTCAATTCTGTTCAATTCTATTCAATTCTGTTCAATTCATGTCATGTTATATTTATTAATTGAAATGAAGTTATAGAGTTTTAATCATTTGAACTTTTTAAAAATAATCATGGCATATTAAATACAAGCAACTTAACATTTGTGTGTAAAAGCTAATATGACTTCAAAAAGAGTTAGAAGTTTCACCACGAGCAGTAACTTATAATAACAAAGAAGAAAAAATTTACGATGTGTTATTACTTAAATAAAATTTTTTTCCGTAGTATTCAAAAATATAAACGAACATATTTTGTATCTTTCAAACATGTTGCCATCCATCCTCTTGGTATAGAACTAACATCAAAATTATTTTACTTGAAGCAAGGAAATAAAGTTTTTATTCTTGAATATTTGGATATTTGGAAAAGATCGGGGGAAATATGAAATTGAAAGATATTATAATTCGTGTATGAACGGTCAGTTCATTTTCTATGCATTATTGTATTGCATTGGCTTATTTTTAACTAATTTAATATCCGCTTCATGTTTAAAGAAATATCAATTTGAAAAAAATAAGTAAACTTCAATATTGTAATAGGGAAAATTTTATAATACTTGCAACTAAAATATTTTTTTCTTTGCCCTTTTTATTTCCATAAAGAAAAGATTATTTCAAGTATAAAAAAATTTTCGTTCTGACAGCTATTGGCTTCGAGTCGACGCATAGTAATAGTCAAGTCAACTTTTCACATGTTTGCAAAGAAATACATCTTACAGAGATATGTATTACGAATATGATGGCAGCTATGTGATTTAAGATTACTATGATCTGTCAAAAAAGGTTGACGCTTACTGATGATGAAATTCTTGAAGGAAAAGTGTACTGCAAATTTGAGTTTCTTTGTGAATATATTTTCAATACTTTTATTATGTACATTTCACTATATTTCGACTGCGCAGTATGTGATCGTTGCTAAAACTGAAATTGTATATAACGTCACGTACTATAGATACAACTGAATATTACTTACACTTCTGCAATAATATCTTGTATTCGTTTTGGCATTTGGTAAAAAAATCTACAAAGATATAACACGTCAATTGTCCGGGCTGAAATAAACGTATCTTTTACATTTTTTTAAATACATGCATGTGATGAGTAAACTGAAAAAAAATTTTTAAAAGCCCAACAGAACATTTTAATACTCTTTTAATACTTCTATACAAGACTTTTTTAATGTCACTATTCGAATTTTTCACATACCAAATGATATTGACAGTCTGATGTTTCTTTGAACTGAATTTGATGGGCTGACGGGTACTTCAGCATCCTTAAGATAATATTTAATGAAATCATTATTCATTACCATTGAGCTGATCAATTAATACATAACATTTTTCTGTGCTACTAATTCAAATATTATCTTTAAAGTTTTCTTTGAAACAATTGTAAAAATAAAATGATATGTATACGTACATACCTCTTTGTGAGCTTTATATGAAGTTTTTCAGAAAAAAAATCCTTATTTAATCATCATACTCAAACTCCATTAACTCGTGTATAAAGAGAATGGAAAAATGAGTTTGGTCTACAAAGTATGTGCCGAAAAAATCGTACTCTCATTTTTTGCTGTTTATTTACTGAGAACAAAAAATATTGAGAAGCTACATGTAGCCCGTAATATTAATGCGTAGGTGAAAATTCACATTTGTATAAAATAGGAAAAACTTAAATTTTAATATAATCACCCTACACTACACACATATATTATAAAAAATATACTTTACATTATAAAAGTCTGGATAAATTCAGAATCTGAAAGTTACGACGGAAAAAAATGATGCTAAGCGTGACTATAATGAATTGTTACATTATAAATATCTATTAATTAATGTTTGACATATAGTTTTTAAAAGCTGTTGATACCTTTGTTTTATTATTTTGGTGATTAAGTTTCTTCAACTATCAATGAGTACATTATTCGAAAGTAAATAAAATTTGTGTAAGGAGTGCATGCAATTGACAATTACAAACAAAAATGACATCATAAGCTATATAAATATTGTAAAATATTCGTCTTCGTAGTTGTAAAGTTACAAAATAAAACATAAATAATAGTTGCGTTAATAATAAAAGAGGCCAGCTGAACTGTCCAGTCATTTTTACCTGCGTGTGAATTACGTGATTTTAGTGTGCATGTATGTATATGGGTCTACGTCTAAACCAAATTGACATAGCGTAATAATATCAGAAATGAATTTTTTGTTGCACAAAGCGGCAAAGCCAAATGTTCATTACCCCAAAGTAAAGTGAAAGGTTCAAATTGTAAGATTTTAGAGAGGAAAAAATTGTTTAATGTATATACTATGCAAAAACGAGCCGAAAAACGAGCATCTGTTTTGATTGTCTGTCACTATCGTAATTGCTACGAAACAATATGAAAAACAAATTTGTCATAATCTTTTATCTGTATCGATTATGTGCACTATTAAACGAAAATATGAAAATACAATTGAAAATTTATGCTGTAATTTCATATCATACGCATCCTTAAATAAGCATATGGCTGGTTTGAGCCGGATGAATGATTATATACACCCAGAAGTAACATTAAGCCGCCAGAATGCCATTATATATATCATGATAAAGAGGGAAAAATTTGTTTTCAACGATCATACAAAAGAGCAATGAAAAACGTATATATACAATCTCAAGAGCAGCCGAGGAGTTTTTCACATGCCATCTAACATCACCTATTCGAAGGAAGGAGAATTATAGCAGCGGAGTCGCGCGCGCGTGGCATACGCGCGTATTGGAACGACCTCTTACCGAATAATTTTGCTCTCCCAATGGCTCGGCAAAAAGTACAGAGCGGAGGTAAATAAAGTCGAGGAATAAAAATTAAATAGAAAGGAAACATGACCGCCGTTTTTCCGTTAAATCGAAAAGCCAACGACCGCTTCTTTGCAACTTTAAATCATCGAAATTGATTCTTACTCTTGACTTTACGACCTCGCTTATGCGTTCTGTTCGCCAAGTTCCAGCGATTCGATGGACCCTTCAAGAAACTGCCCGATATATTGAGTGTGTTATTTGAAGAAAAAAATCTTGGCAAGTATATAAATAAGGTCAATACTGAAAATTTTGAATTTTTTAGATCATTACAATGAAAGCCAACCTATAAATGTTATTTCTAGTTTTTTTATTAACTCTTTTTTGCTTATTTTCAATTTTTATAAACGACATCTTCTGCGCTGACTGGAAACTGTTTACCGTACTTATCTGCGATACTTTTTTCACTTTTATTGTAAAGAAACGTGTTTAATACAAATTCATTCTTGCATAACGTTCATAACATTATAGTAATTCTCTACTTAAAGAGCCTCTTGCAATGTATATTTTTCACTTCAAAAGCCTTCCATGAATTTCAAATCTCTGAGCCGAGAAAAATTCTGTAAAACATTCAAATCTCGATTAATTTTATGGTTGAGAGCCCTGAACTAGTTGAATAAGAAAATAAGAATATTGGCTAAGGTCAAAAAGATATAAAGTTAATAAAAAAGTACTTTTATGAATATTCATGATTTTATCTTAAAATATATCATTACAATGTTTTAATGAAAAATCGAGTGAAACATTATGCTAGCTTACTCTTTATTTATATAATTCAAAAGTATCTTGGGTGAAACTAAAACTTTCGTCGATATTTTCTCAGAACAGTAGGTTAGTTTCTGTCCCGATTGTACTTATCCAGATAAAACATTTAGTTTCTGCGAGTTTTGTAAATCAATTGCAAGCTCAGTATATTTTAATGAAAACTCTGAAAATGTTTGTATTTGAAATTACCACGATCATTATAGAATAATGATATTTTATTTAATCAACTTGAGCTGCTAAAGAGTTAGTTTAATTAATGCTGAGCGAAGCGAAGTCGTCTTCTTTTAGCTTCGTGTTTTTTATCGTTTTTTGTGTCAACGGTTTCGGAAAATCGGGTTGACTTATTGATATGTTATGAAAATTTCGGAAGTTTTGGAGGCTGTGTGGATGAAGGTCTAATTACATAAATGGTGTCTATTTTTCAACTTCTTATGCTCTTCTATGCATTTTTTCTAATAACTTTGAATAAATTTATGTAATTTGACGGGGAAATTTTTTTATTACACACAAATTTGCAACCGGGCAACTGTTCTTTTAGTTTGACATCCGAATGCACTTGGGTGTAATTGGATGCACTACTTATGCAGTTTTTCCAAGTTTCTTTCAAACTGATGTAATTCGGAAAAAATTTTTTAATTACACAGAAACTTAGCACCGAGTATCAAGTACTCAAAAAACTGGGCAAGTGTTGCGAAATTGATTAGTTAAAATCTATATAAGCTAGATTTTGCTCAGACTACTTGGGTTTGCTTTCATAATTATTTAATATCTACATGAGCTGGGTCGAGTGGGTTACTCGTTTTGCTGAAATAAAGTTGAATGGGAAAATACCAGAAGTGAAACTTTGGAGTCCTTTTCCTTGGTTGAATTTTCTCTTAAATGTTATTCAACTTTTTCTAATTTTTGACTTTCTTGAACTTAGATTTTTTTTTAATTTTTTTCAAAACTTTATTTTACTTTATTTTCTATCAAATTGATCAAGATTTTTCTTCTTTGTTATTTCGATGTTTTAGTTAACTAATTTTATAGAAGTTTCACTTCTGATGGCTGTCCATAGACATCTAATTTTAGTATTATGAGATACAAGGGCATTTA